TTAATCTCAATATACTAACAACCCCCCCTCAAAAGTTATTATTACCCGTACTGCCCTAGTTCCATACACTTTGGGAGATGGTACTTTCCTTCCTGTCGGAACCCAAGTCTGCATGCCCCACCACTCTGTCCATAACGACTCCAACATCAAACTCTACGCCGACCCCGAATTCGATGGGTTCCGTTTCCACAAGATCCGTGAAGAGATGTTGGAGCAGAACCCAAAGAACACACAAGCCCACCGCACCGAACTTTGGACCGCCACCTCTACCCAACAACTATACTTCGGTAACGGTCGTCACCCATGCCCCGGCCGTTTCTTCGCGTCTCTCCAGTCCAAGATGATCATTCATTATATCTTGGCAAACTACGAGATTAGCGTCGACCCAGAATCTCAATACCATCCACACACATGGCAAACCATGTATATCCCAAATGTCTTCGCCAAGATCAACTTCACACGACTCACCGATCCGGAAGAGGGTGTCGAAGAAGAGATCAAGTTTGATCTTGCTTAGACCTTTGCTTATCCGACATGCCGTGAGATTTTTTTCTTCTTGTGAAAACCATTTTTCTTCTGCTGATATACACCGGCCCCATTCCCTCTCAACTTGCAAATCCTCACTATTCTTACCGATACGAACATGACACGACATCCTATCTGATCTTTTAGCGACTGATTTTTTTTTAGCATGGGCCGGTGTTATGCTTCGTCTTTTTGTGCTTTTCTGCTTGGCGTTTATTTCCTCCCCAACCAACATACGAAATCGACTACCTTATCCTCCACCATCACAGCTTTCCTAGGATCCTGGATGCACTCTCCCATGTCCCCTGGCCCCAACTCCGAACTGTCCGTCGACAAAGAAACAAAATTATTTTGCAAATCGTAAAAAAGAAAGAACCCTGACAACTTGGTAATCTTCTCCGCATTGCAAATCCTCTCCTACTCTGATCGTTTTTTGGCCGTCCTCATTGCGCTGCTTTGGAGTTTTCTATGGAACCTGGTTTATTTCTTGCACGGGGCGTTTTAATGCTTGTTTTGATACTTCACTTACTAACTCGACCATGTCAACCTTTATGTCAAAAAAAACCTTATACTTTGTAATACTTTTTTTAAAAAAATATAATAGCTCGCACTCTGCAGTAGCTAACCAACTGTAGTGCTTGTGATGGGTTTTATAACCCCCAAGACTATTTTATACCAAACTTGACTGATCGTAGAACCGTTTTCGAATCGTTATCGATCATACATGACACAATCGTATCGGATATTACCATGTGAATAGCGTGACTATGGCCATATAAACTTATACATATATGCTCATGCCTTTCAAGGGCTCCAACCTCGGAAACGTGCATCATGACAACTGGGCCCTGGAGTACGTAACGTACGCAACGTATAGGTGCAGAGTCTCGAACTTGGAATGTTACACAACACAGGATGTGGTGATTCCAACGTCGATGTGTTGTCGTCCCCAGTTGGGAGAGGCGACAGGGATGTTCTGGCAGCTGATTGGTGCTGGTGTTTTTAAGCGCAGGCCTTGAAACATCCCCAAGAGGTAGCGGCAACCAATACACTCCCTCGCACCGTTTCTTCCTCCCGGAAGATGTTCCTAGCAAATCATCACGTTCGGAGCCCAGTTCACGATCACGAGAGGCCCGATCCAAAAATAATGCGAGCATGGAAAGAGCCGCACGGTTTATTTAGGGTCCCCCAGGAACTTGAGTTCTGGTTGTCGAAACGCGTATCAACGACTGGACCTTGGGCCACCACCAGCACGCGCCCACCACTGAACCCTAGCTTCTATTCTTCTTCGGTACCTGCTAATATACTGCAAATTTGGAGCTCCCCGGCGGCGAAGAGACTGGATTTTCCGTAATCTCGACTACTGGTGCCTGGGATTCTTGTACTTTCCAAGAATATATACCTCCACGCCACTAATTGGGCGGGTACCATTGCAGAGCAATAAGGGCGAACACTTGTACTGTACCTATTCTTAGGACTACGAGCTTACAACCTCACGGATTCGATATACCACTCGCGCCGGGACCAGGCCAAAGCTACGAGCAGTTAATTTCACGGTTACTATGAATACACACACATGTGCTAACGTTAACAATACCTAGTTGCGACCTGACGAATTTCTTGATACGGCTGGGATTCCGAAAGGTGGGGCATGCCATTCATACGCCTCGCTTGATGCTGGGCATAGCTGGCGGCATCCCATCCCACCCCACGTCCTGGGCCAAGTTCGCGCATCTGTCGAAGGATGCATGGAAAGCTTGTCATTGGAAAGCTATAGGGCGACAGCTCAACCTGATCCCAGTAGCGCAGGTTTTTATTTTATTTTTTATTTTCGAGGCAGCTGTCTTCGTTGGTCGTTCGAGATATAAGTTTGGAGTGTCGCCCTCCCTCAGTGGTTCTTCTTCTCCTCTCTCACATCCAGTCCAGTCTGATACGAATTTCTTTACTGTTTCGTAGCTCTTTCCTTTCGTTTTTTTCTTTCTTTCCTATCTTTTTAATCATTCTTCTTTTCGACTTGACAGCTAGCTGTTGAAGAGTGCAGAGCACTTGGTTTCTTATCAGATCTCATATTACTTACTATCTTTTTTCTTTTTTTTTTCTTTTCCCCCCCTACTTTCTTTGTGTCATTTTTCAGGCCAATTTCAGGAAATTAGAACCAAGCCTTTTATATCGGGAAGAGAGAGGTATATACACAATCTACACGTTCAGTCGTTCGGTCGCGCATCGAAAAGGAAAAAAGAGAGAAAACAATTTCTAGAAAGCCGTTTTCTTGTTGGCACATAGAGAAAAAAAAAGAAAATTATATCAGAAGGAAGGAAGGCACCAGGTTTCCATATCTTTCCTAGATCTCTCAGCTTCAACTTCAACTTCATTCAACAACAACAACTTCGACCTCATCACCAACATCAACATCATCAACCAAGCATCAACTTCCCATCGCAGGCAGAAATGTTCAACCTAACCAAATTCGCCAAAGCGGCGCCATGCACCAGTATGTATCAATCGCTATCTAGGGAATCATTAGTGCAAAATTACTAATCAGTGGGGTTGGATGCATATAGAACCCCTCCTCGGTTTCGCGGCTCTTGCGTTGATGATTTCGTTCATCTTCTCCACTGTGATTGTCACAGCTGGGAAGCAGGAAAGCAGCAAGGGACTATACATCGTTTCTTTCGAGTACGATATCGCTGCTGTCAATAACAGACTCGTCAGGCGCCAGGAGGATGACGCAGAAACCACTACCATCACCCGTTCCATCGCTACGGTCTCGCAAACAAAAACCGTCGCACCAGAGCCCACCGAAGACGCTGCTCCAACTTCCTCCGCCATGCCAATGCCCACCTCTACCCTCAAGATCCAGGAGAAGTTCAAGCAATCTGTTGAATCCCTCATCGAAGAGGACAAAATGAATGCCACCGTTCAGTTCGACCACGCCCGTGTTAGCTACAGCGGAATCTGTGTCGAAGTCACCTCGATGGAAGGAATCAAGGGTACCCAATGGAGATGCGGATCCGTCAATACTACTGAAGTCCTCGGAGCCACCGCTGGCGGCGATCCGTTCGATCTTATCGGTGTTGCCGCCTTCTTCAAGGATAAGATTGCGTTCTCCCTCCCATGGTGGGTCTCAACCGTCTGCCTGGGTGTCGCCATGTTGTGCCAGATGGTCTTGATGATCCCACTTCTTCCTATCCCACCGGTCGTCCAGAGGGCCACCGCCATCCTCGCCCTCCTCGGATGTATGGCTCTTCTTGGAGGCTTGATCCTACAGCACGTCGCCGCTAACTCCGTTGCCGCGCTGTCCCACAAGTTGACCATGGGAACCGTTAACGCTCACGTCGGAAGAATGAACCAAGCCCTCGGATGGACTGGCTTCGCTTTGTCCTTGCTCGCAAACATCGCAATCTGGGTCGTCGTCGCCGCTGAGATGGCTTTGGAGAAAGGGGAGCGGATGATGGATTCCGCTGCTGAAGCCGCCATCAACAAGGTCGAATCGCGATTGCCATACAACCACACCGGTGGCAGCAGAAGCTTCAGTGGAACCAGCACCGCTAGCAGCGGTCTCGGAAGGTCGCTGAGGGATAACGGCCCAGACGTCCTCCGAGGATTGGCCAAGGCCAAGACAAGGGGTGATGCTCTTGATGCCCTCGCTGGACCATTCAGAAGCGAGAAGGCCTACCCCCCTCACTCTAACAACCATAACAATCACACCAACTTCGTCTAAATGGATGAAGAAGGTCGGAAAAAAAAGTTTAATGATACCCCCACTACCAAAGTTGAATATGGAAAAAAAGAGTCTGCGAGTTTTATGATTCTAATATCCTGAGTGTATTTTTTTTCATTCTTTTATTTATGTCTTCTTTTTTTAAACTCTCTTTCATTCTTTTCATTACAAAGCATTGCATTGCGTGGACTGGGTCTGTCTGTCTCTCTTTAGTCTCTACTCATTTCCTTTTCCTGATATCAAATAAAGTATTTTCCTAATTCTGACCGATCAATGGGTTATTTTATGTTTTCTGAGTCTTAAATAAAATAAATTTGTAAAAAATTACGAGTGTTCTTGCAAACCACGTAGCTATTCAAAGTCCCTCGTATATCCAAGTAGAAATTAGGTGCTACGCCCAAGTGTCTCAGTCCAGTAACCGCTCCTTAGGAAATACAAGCAAAGATCATTGTAAGTACCGGCGGACTAAAGATCATTCGGCCCACCCAAGTAATACAACCGGGAGGGCGATATACCTACATACGCCCGCTCTGATGTTGTGGGCATGTTACTAAGCGTTCCCGCAGGTGACCTACCTCAAAATCCCTCTCGTATCCGCTGGTAGTGTGTTGTGGAGTGTGGGATATAAAAATCCGGAGCTCGCATAGGACAAGTACCCCAGACTTCCACCCTGGTGATAAAAAATTTCCTCCACAAATGGGTAGATACAAAAAAAAAGAGTAGTGCGCTGTGCAGGTACCTTTCGCACTTCCGAATCCAAATCCGGGAATTGAACCCGGGTCTCGCCGGTCCACTTTTTTTGGTGCTCATGAGAGCGGCGTATTCTGACCACTGAACCAATTTGGAGTTTGGGATAAAAGACACGGTATACCGGATGGCTCCCATACGGCTTGCCGGGTGCCGATGGATGAGCAAAGAGGAATTTACCGACGGCAAACTCTTGATCCGGCAGTAGATCAGACCAAAAAAATGGAATCCTGCATGCGGTACAAAGTACACATCGGAGAAACACAGTTCATGTTCCTCAGCATGATATCTTTTCCGCATGTGCAGCTTACGAAAGGAAGTTGAAGTCGTGGCATAAGAGGATAGGACGACGACCTTCCTCCGTATCGTGCAACTGTGGACCTTTGATACCGGGTCGATGGGATTCAATCCAAAAGCCGTTACACAGGCGGCTTTCCGGTGCTGTGACCTGTATTTGCTTTCGGTGCGACGGCCATCCACTCGGTAGAAGGCATTGTCCTCGGTCCAGGCTACTTCGTATTTTAGGTATGGTGGAAAGAAAAAAACATATTCCGATCCAATGGCCCCGAGTCTTGGCACGTCAAGCTGTTGAGCTGTTGGGAAGAACCAGGGAACGAGAACTGGCTATGTTCGAGCTAGTTCTGTGACAGGAAGTTCATTGTCTGGTAGAAAAAACGGGCGGCCTCTCGTCGTCCAAGGCTAGCTAATTGAAGCTTTTTAAATTTGGAGGCATCGGTTTTAGTCTAGTTTCTGTGCTCGTCTACCCTGGTCAGCGTGGGATGCCATTATCAAAAACATATGTATCGATAGGGTTATCAATATGCATACTTACATGCCCAACCCTCCACGAGAGAGAGAAAGCCCAGTGTTCATGCAAACTGTATATAGCATATCAATTGGGCCAATGCGCTTCTCCCACAGCGATTGCGGGATCGGTATCGTGTGAGCGTCCAGACATTATGCATGAGCAAAGGTTAAAACAAGCGAATCGGTTGGCTCTGTTGGCTATTCTCACGACAAACCAACTGGGGGCATGCGCGCCCGCAGCTCCCTCAAGGGCATGCCACCTTGGATAGCACCTTGCATTAACATGTTGGATAATCACGTTTGCGTAACAGGGGAGGAGGAGGAGGAGGAGGAGGAGGAGGAGGAGGCCAATTTTCTGGCTTGTGAAAATTTTCGTGAGCGTGGCCTGGCCCTAGGATAAAATCTTACGCCCACTTGGCAAGTTAAATCGAAAACCGTCGAAGTCTATGAAAGAAAAAGAGGAAAGAAGGAAAAGAAAGAAATCGAGACGGCGTGGGGTCGAGACAAGAGGCCTAAAACACCGGAGCTAAATAAAACCACCAGCCGCCTTTCTGCTTCTGCTCTGCTCACACGACCCTTCCCATGTTCTAACCGACAATCTGTAGAAGGCCCTTTTTCTTCAGGATAGTTTTTCAACCTACATTTGCCCTTGATTTTCAACCTCAAGGGCTGTAGAACGACTGTGGGATCCCCGTATCGGACGATTTCCCGAGTGTCGATACCCGTTTCCTCTCAACTCCCCGCTGGTTTGAAGCGTACGAACTCGAACCAGGCCATGGCGAAAGGCCAAACCTCTGCTGACCTGCCCGGCGCGGCAAACGGCAGCCCCCAGCTACGGGAAAGGACGAAGTCCTCAAAGAAACAGCAGAAACAGCAGAAACAACCGGCCAAGCTTACGACGGAGACTTTGGACAGCAGTGCTTCGAAGCCGAGGAGTGAGATTGAGAAGGAAGCTAAGACGTACGGTCGTACTCCCGATGGAACTGGTATGTCACACACGATCACAGGCACCGATCCCAGCCGATTGGACAGTACAAAAAATGCAACAGCTGACAACGCATTATCTCGACAGTCTTTGTCGTCCCGCAAACCCATGATATGGTCTCCACCCTCCTCTCGCCCAAGGAGCCGAAGAATCTCTCCGATCTCCTCGTCCTTGGTGTTTTGGCATTCCACATAAGCCTTTTGTTCATCCTCCCACAATGGTCTCTGAAACCAGTGTTCATGTTTACGTTTCTCTTTTGGCGGGCTGGGTACAATCTCGGAATCGGCCTCCTTCTCCAGTCCCAGAGCAAGTATAAACAGCTTACCCACTGGGCTTCCAAATACAAGATCTTTGACAGGGAGGCCCATCCGATGCTTTACGACTTTATCAAACGTGAAATCTCGACAAAGATACCCTCAGAAGACTATGACTTTGACAAAGCACCACTCGAATACAACACTTGGATGGTGTTCCGTAGACTCGTGGATCTTATTCTCATGTGCGATTTCGTGAACTATGTGCTTTTCGCCTATGTTGCTACCGAAGTACCCACCAGCCATAAGATGTGGTTGCATGTCTGCAGATGGATCGCGGGTGTGGTCCTCTTCGTGTTCAATGTCTGGGTCAAGCTAGACGCACATCGAGTCGTGAAAGATTATGCCTGGTGTAAGTTACCGGTCCGAATCGTGATGCATCGTGACATCTAATAAACTAACTGAAATCCATAATAGACTGGGGTGACTTCTTCTTCATGATTGATCAGTCTCTGACTTTCGACGGAGTCTACGAGATCGCCCCACATCCCATGTATTCCGTGGGCTACGCCGGGTATTATGTAAGTTTTTGACAGCCTCTCCAGGGGTAAATAAATGGTGGCTCTATTAACGCAGGGTAATCTAGGGAATTTCGCTCTTCTCTGCCAGCTACACCGTTTTCGCCATCTCACTCATCGCGCACGCCGCCCAGTTTGCTTTCCTCGTACTTATCGAAGATCCACGTAAGTCTTTTTTTTTCTATATTTGAACCGGATCAAAGCTAACAGAATCCTCAGACATCCAAAAGATCTATAACCCCCCCCCGCAGAAACGCAAAGCCCCCCAAAAGCCAACCCTTATAATCGAAGATGGCGCAACCTCAAGCATGGCCAGGGACGTCTCTCCCCCGCCTTCAATCTCTTCCTCCGATCTCCCGGAGGCAGCCGAGGAGCAACCGATCATGCGCCCACTTGTTGGATACCAAAACTTCGATTTCGTTCGAACTCCAGACCTCCAGCTTTTCTTCCTTGGAGTCTATACGGTGTCATTGGCTCTTCTCGTTCCCGCAACGCCAGTTACGCAGGCTTTATTCATTCTCCATGCGCTATTCTGGCGATTGTTCTACTCCGTTGGACTCGGGATTATCCTCAACCTTCAGAGCGAACGCAAGTCATGGACAAGGCATTTCCTCAAGTACGGCGAATCTTTGGATGAATCGTGGAGACAATGGAGAAGTTTGTTCCATATGGTCAACTGCATGTGTCATTTGAGTTTTGCGGCCGCCTGTTGGAAGGTATACTCGCCGCCCGAGAACTGGTCTACAGATATGGCGCTGTTGAAGCATATGCTCGGATTTGTGAGTCTAGCACCATCTATGGTAACGATGGAAGTCCCAACTAACACCACTATTTACAGTTGCTTGTTGCTCTCCAAATGTGGGCGGCAGCATCGATCTACGATAGCGTCGGCGAATTTGGCTGGTGAGTACAATAAGTAATGTATCGAGCGAGCTAGGATTGACGAATTTCATAGGTTCTACGGTGACTTCTTCTTCGATACCCGCCCAAAACTCACATACTCTGGCATCTACCGCTTCCTCAATAACCCAGAACGGCTCTTCGGCTGCGCCAGCGTCTGGGGTCTCGCTCTGGTCACCTCCAACCCAGCAATTTACCTCCTGGCTCTTTTGGCACATATTGCTACCCACCTCTCAATCGACTTTGTCGAACGCCCCCACATGGAAAAACTCTACGGCGACCTCCGCCAGGATGCAGGCGTCGCCAAAACCCTGAAGCGCGCCGTTCCAAAGGACCTCAACGACCGCCTCCAAAGAATCCAAGGATCCCTCGATAAAGTCGCAAACACCACCACAGACCTCGTCGAGGAATTCCTAGATAGGGCGATGAAACGTCTGTCCAATAACGAAGAAGCCAATACCCTCCTCTCCGACCCCGCCGGCGGCCCCACAAGATCCGAACGTCGCCATCTCAGCTTCCCGACCTCAAGCCGTATTTTATTCTCTGGAATCCCTACTAACGAACTTTCAAAACTCGATCTATCACTCTACTCCATCTCCATCCTTTCCGCGAAACACTCCCCGAAACCACCGGGTTCGGCGATAGATACATTCTCCCCGCTGTCGGTATCATACGGTTCTGCTGTTAGAGTCGCTTGGACAGCGCCAAAGCTCCACTCCAAGAAGGATTGGATCGGCTTGTACCGTGTTAATGATAACTCGAAGCGCGCTGTTACCGGAATCGCATCCATGGGCCGTTGGACAGCCGTCTCTCGTGGCGAATACCCACAATACGACGAAGAGGCGATTCTGACCTGTGACGCCGAACAACCGATCGATGAGACCCATGATGAGGAATACATCCGCGGCGAAGCCGTTTTTGAGGGCCATAGATTATTCTGGCATACCGGAGTCTACGAATTCAGATACCATCACGGGGGCAGACATCATGTCATGGCGATTAGTTTACCGTTTGAAGTCGTGGTCGACAAGTTCGATGAGAGCTCTTCTACACCCGGGAAGGTTGTCAATGTGGATGAGATCTTGAAGCCGTTGACGGGTATTGTGAGGGATTGTTTCGATCGAAAGGAAGATGTGGCACCTGAAAGCGCCGATGATGAGTTCGGGGAGGTTGCGGAGATGAAGTATGCGAAGAGGATTGTGTATGCCGTTAAAGAAATGTATGGACCTACCTTTGCATTCCCCCTACTCTCTGTGATTTTTTCTTACTAACGTAACGAACTACAGGTTCGGCTTGGACTTGGCTCCCGAGGTCGTCAAGGCCGACGGCACAGTTCGCAAACTGGCATGGCGTATTGTAAACGCAAAGAGAGTCTTGGTAAGTGGTACTGTTATATATACACTCAACGCCAACCGCTAATTAAAATTTAAAATAGGCACCTTTCAGCTTATCCCGCTCGTCCCCTTCCGCCCCTTCTTCACCCATCGAAGCATAGGCATAGAATTCATCGCTTTGTTTCAAAGGCCGCTGTAGTGATTTAGTTTGTAAATATATAGTTGTGTGTACGTGTGTACG